GTCTTCTTCTTCCTGAAGAATTTCCTTAGCTTTGGTCCTCAGAGGAACAAACTCTGTGAAATGTTTGTCATAGTACTCGTCCAATGCACGCATGTACTTGCTGTAGCTGATGAGCCAGTTGACAGAGGGGAAATGCTTACGTTGGGCTAGTTTCTTATCTAATCCCCAAAACACCTGAACAATACCAAGAGTAGCAGATGTAACTGGATCAGAAAAATCACCACCAGGTGGAGAAACTGCTCCTACAATGCTGACACTTCCTTCTCTTTCAGGATTTCCAAGACATTTCACTCTGCCTGCTCGCTCATAGAAAGAAGCCAGACGTGCACCAAGATATGCAGGATATCCACTATCTGCAGGCATTTCAGCTAAGCGACCTGAGATTTCTCTAAGGGCCTCGGCCCATCTCGAGGTAGAGTCAGCCATCATACTGACATGGTAGCCCATGTCACGGAAATATTCTGATAGTGTAATGCCAGTATAAATAGAGGCTTCTCCAGCAGCAACAGGCATATTGGAGGTATTGGCTACTAAAGCTGTCCTCTTCATGATTGACTCTACCTTACCATCAACTTCCATAGTGAGCTCTGGGAAGTCTCGGAGGACTTCAGACATCTCGTTTCCCCTTTCACCACATCCTACATAAATGATCACATCACTACTGGAATACTTGGAGAGAGACTGTGATATCACCGTCTTTCCACAGCCAAAAGCTCCAGGGATAGCAGTAGTTCCACCTTGTACACACAGAAAAAGGGCACCAAGGACTCTCTGGCCAGTCAGCAAAGGATGATTGGCTGGCAGCTTCTCAGTGACAGGACGAACTTGACGAACAGGCCATACCTGGACCACGCTGAACTTCTCCTTTATACCTTCAAATTCAAGCTCCAAGACAACATCAGAGGTATCATAATTCCCAGGTGGGGCAATACAAGTGACAGTTCCTCCATTTCGTGGGGGTAACATGATTTTGTGTTTGATGAGTGAGTTCTCATTGACAATTGCATAAATATCTCCACCAGTGATATGGCTACCAACCCGTAGGTTTTTGCATGGTGTAAAATCCCATTTAACAGCTCTGCTAAGAGCAGACACATTTACTCCTCTGGGGATGTAGATACTTTGGGTCTGACTGCTGATATCTGACAAAGGTCTTTGAATACCATCAAAAATGGCTCCCATAATGCCAGGACCAAGCTCAACGGAGAGAGGTTTTCCAGTTCGGAGTACAGGGTCTCCAACAGATACACCAGAAGTTTCTTCATACACCTGAATAGTAGCCATGTCACCTTCCAATCAAATAATCTCTCCAACCAACTCACTGTGACCCACTCTTACCAGCTCATACATGGCTGCACCTGCCATGTCACAGGCTGTAACCACAGGCCCTGAGACCCCATGAACATAACCAAATGTGCTTTCTTTATCTTCATCGATTATTTTGGGTAGCTTGGAGAAATCCATCATGTTAATTTACCTTTTCTTCCTCCCTTTCTTTCTCCTTCCTTTTCTGTTTATTTTCTTCTTCCAATGTCAACAACCTGCTGG